CTCCCTCCAGGACTCCCAGGTTCTAATCGAGCTGCACAAGTCAGGCTTTGCCCGCCCAGGCGACGTGGAATTTGAAGACTTCAGCCAGCCCATGAACCGCGCGCCCTCGGATAGCAGCCTGGGCACCCCCTCAGACGGACGGCCTGAGCTGCGAGGCCCGGCCCGTAGCCGTGCCAAACGCTGGCCCTTTGGCAAAAAGAACAAGGTGGGGGCCAGGGTTCTTGGGGAAGGGGTGTGAGTGGGGATAGTGACGGTGTGGAGGGGGCCCATTGAGTCAGCCCCAGCCGCTGGAACTCTGAGTCCCGGGCAGGAATTTTCCTCTTGGCTGCTATCCCAGGCTAGAGGGAAAGAAGGCGGTGATTGGCCTGGGAGTCCCCTGAGGCTGACAGGGGGCCAGGAGAAGGAGGGGGGCTGTGGCGTCTGTCTGCTGCTTCTCAGGATGCTAGGAGAAGACCTGCTTGTGGCATTGAGGGCTGGTCAAGGGCGCGGATGCTGGCCCTGGTGACGTCCCCTGGGCCTCTCTCCGTCCCACTTTATGGGGCTGGGCCCTGACATCCAGGCTGTTTTTATCTTGGGTTTTTTGGTTTTCAATGTCAAACACATACCTGGACACTCCTGGTTTATACCTTCAGCAACTGCCCCCTGCCTAGTTTGTACCTTTGACCCTTGCTACCCCGCTTCAGTTTGTATATGGCACTCCTCCCTACCCTGCTGAAACTCCACCTGTAATCCTCTGATATTTCATGCCTTTGACCCTTTTCTCTGCTTGGCCTTGACTGCTGCACACATCTCCCTCCGCGTTCTAGACTGTGAGCTGAGAAAGCTGGGGGTGGGGAGACAGAAACAGGGGCTTAACCCCATCCTAGGTAGTGAACACGGGGTGCAGGGAATGTGGGAGCTATTGGGGGAAGAAGGGGTCTGGCCTTCTGGCTCACAGTCTCATGCCCTCCTGCCACCTCCCAGATTTTTGTGTTCTTTGCATGCGTTTTCTGTGTGTAATTGTGCATCTTGAGTTGTGGTTTTCTTACCGTTTTTTTTCTTTTCTCCATTTGGTTTTTTCCTTTATTGCGTCCCTCCATCCGTCCACATTTGTACTCGTTCTCTATATTCTCCCATCCCTCCTGACCTACCCCCTCCACGGTCCCCACGGGTAGCCGCGTCCTCCACCCCTCTCCCCCCTGGGGGGCCCCCTGCCCTCGGCATTGCCTAATGGACCCCCGTCCCCCCGCTCCGGCCTCGACCCCTTGGCCATACTGAGTGAGATCAGTAAGTCGGTCAAACCGCGGCTAGCATCCTTCCGCAGCCTTCGAGGTAGCCGTGGGGTAAGTGAGGCCTCCAGGGGAGGAGGAGGGGCGGCCCCAGTCTGCCCAGCGGCCGGGTGGCGGGACCCTGGGCTCGCTTCCTGCTGCTGGCTGGGCCCCTCCTCCCATTGCGGAACTCGGACCTGCTTTGCTCTGTGCATGGCCTTGCCCCCCAAGAACCTTGGGTGGGGAGGAAGGTGGACTGGTGTAGCCTATGAACGTCTTAGAGCCTGGGAGCTCGGACTCAGTGATCCGAACTCAGTTCTCTTTCCACCTTGTAGACAGTGGTGACTGAAGACTTTAGCCACTTGCCTCCAGAGCAGCGGAGAAAGCGGCTTCAACAGCAGCTGGAGGAACGAAATCGTGAACTACAGAAGGAGGTTGACCAGAGGTAAGGTGAGAGGGAGGCGGACGAAGAAGAAAAAAACATAAAGAATTACGGACGCTTCTCAACTTACCATGGGGTGACACCTGAGAAACCTATCATTGAAAATACCAAAAGTCAAAATGCATTTATAATACCACACTGTATTATTATAAATGTGTCACTTATTCACATTCCTGATCGAGGCTGACCGGGAGCTGTGGCTCTCTGCTGCTGGCAGCCTCATGACAGAGTAGCGTACTGCCTGTCACTAGGCCTAAAAAAGATAAAAATTCTAAGTATGCTTTCTACTGAACGGGTATAGTTTTCAGACCATCACACAGTTGAAAATCGTAAGTCAAACCATGGTAAGTCAGGGACATGTGTACATCGAATAGTACTCAAACCTCTCCCAACAAGCCCTGGGCCCTGGTGGCTATATAGGTAATTCCTACCCCCTTGTAAGAAACAGTTACTTTCCATGTTATACAACTCGTTCCAGTACACCCCAAATGAGTGAACGCCACCAGCTCATTTTAGAGGCTGGTGGTGTTTCGATTTCATAATCAGTTAGCAAGAATTTAAGAAAATAAAATTATGGGTTCATTTTAATTCACTTATGATCTTAATTCTGCTGCAACATCCTAGCCAGGCAAATCCAGTGGTGTATTTTTTTTAAGGTTTTATTCATTTATTTTTAGAGAGGAGGGAAGGGAAGGAGAAAGAGGGGGACAGAAACATAAATGTGTGATTGCCTCTCATGTGCTCCCTACTGGGGACCTGGCCTGCAACCCAGGCAGTGTCCTGACTGGGAATCAAACTGGTGACCCTTTGCTTCCCAGCTCGTGCTCAATCCATTGAGCTACACCGGCCAGGGCCCAGTGGTGTATTTTAAAAGTAATACCTCATGCCGTGGTGATGGTTGCACAACAATGAATGTACTTCGTGCCTTGGAGCTGTATATTTGGCATAAATGAACCAAAAATGGTTCAAGTGGGAAGTTTCATGTTATGTACATTTTATCATAATAAAACAGCTTTTTAAAAAGACTTTAAAAAAGTCACAAGTAGTCGGGTGTTAACCCCACAATGCAAAGACAGTTCAATATTTAAAAAAAAAAAAGCAGACTTCCAGCCAAGATGGAGGTGTAGGTGGAAACACTGTACCTCCTCACACAATCAAGTTTATGAACAGCAAATATTTAAAAACCAGAACACAACCAAAACAAAGAGAAAATTAAACTGTACTGAAGTCCGACAACAACAAACCATTCATCCAGACCAGTAAGAGGGGCGGAGTCAGTGGCTGGTGCAGGAAAAAGTGGCCTGACTGACCCAGGCGTGCAGGCAGTGGTTGGCAGATCCCAGGCGCAGGGTGCCAATGGGCAGACCCAGTGAGGGTGCAAGGTGGCTGGCTGACCACGGTCACACATTCACACTCAGATAAACCAGGCAAAGGATCAATTAGTGAGATAGACCGTGCAACCCAGGACCCCAGCGCCAAGAAATAAAGCCTAAAAGCACCAACTGGAAAAAATTTCAGGGGTCGAGGTTCTGGGAGACGCTGCTAGGCTTACAGAGAGTTCGTTGGAGAGACCCACAGGGTTCTGGAGGGTGTACAAGCCCGCACATCTGGGAAATAGCACCAGAAGGGCCCAATTTACTTGTGGGAAGCAGCAGAGGGGACCAAAATCTGAGAGCAGGGGAAAAAAAACTCGATTACCCCTCTCTGACCCCGCCCCCACAACAGTGTCACAACCCAGCAAACTGGGTGGCCCCGCCCTGATGAACATCCAAGGCTCCGCAACTCATACTAACAAGCACAAACAGACCAAAACATTATGGGTCAAGAAGAAGAACACCTCAAAGCCCCAGAACCAATACTTCTAAGTGACCAAGAAAACCCACCTATCAAATGCACAGTTCAAAACACTGGTGATCAGGATGTTCATAGAACTGGTTGATTTTAGTCACAAATTAGATGAAGAAATGAAGGCTTCACTAAGTGAAATGAAACAAAATGCATAGGGAACCAATAGTGATGGGAAGGAAACTGTGACTAAAATCAATCGAGTGGACCAGAAGGAATAAAAAACGACCAAACAGAAAAGAATGAAGAAACAAGAATTAAAAAAATGAGGAGAGGCTTAGGAACTTCCAGGACATCTTTAAACATTCCAACATCTGAATTATAGGGGTAACAGAAGGGGAAGAGGAACAGCAACAAGTGGAAAAGATATTTGAACAAATAAAGGAGAACTTCCCCAATCTGGTGAAGGAAATAGACTTCCGGGAAGTCCAGGAATCTCAGAGAATCCCAAAGAAGATGGACCCAAAGAGGAACACACCAAGGCACATCATAATTACATTAGCCAAGATTAAAATGAAAGAATCCTAGAAGCAGCAAGAGATAAGGGGACAGTTACCTACAAAGGAGTTCCCATCAGACTGTCAGCTGATTTCTCAAAAGAGATCTTACAGGCAAGAAGGGGCTGGAAAGAAGTATTCCAAGTCATGAAATCCAAAGACCTACATCCAAGATTTCTCCATCCAGCAAAGCTTTCATTTAGAATGGAAGGGCAGATAAAGTGTTTCTTGGATAAGATCAAGTTCAAGGAGTTCATCATCATCAAGCCCTTATTATATGAAATGTTAAAAGGACTTATCTAAGAAAAAGAAGATAAAAAAGATGAACAGTGAAAGGACAGCAAACTCACAGTTATTAACAACCACACCTAATAGAAAAGCAAACTAAGCAGACAGATCAGGAGCGGAACTATAGAAATGGAGATCACATGGAGGGTTAGCAACAAGGGAGTGGGAGGAGGAGAGAGGGGGAGAAGGTACAGAGAATAAGTAGCATAGACAGTAGATAGAAAATAGATGGGGGGAGGGCAAGAATAGTATGGGAAATATAGAATCCAAAGAACTTGAGACACATGGACATAAACTAAAGGGGGGGACTGGTGGGGGAGGGGGTGTGCAGGGTGGAGGGGAATGAAGGGGGGAATGGGACAACTGTAATGGCATAATCAATAAAACATTTAAAAATATTTTTAAAAAGCTTATGAGTCTCATTCACTACATTAATGGGCTAAAAAATGACATGTGGTTATCTATTAGCTAACTCAAACACTTAAAATATTAACAATAACAAATCTGGCAGATTAATAAAAGTTTGTATTCATTCTTTCCAAACAGCAAGATCCTCTTCCCAGTACTCTTACATAATAGAAATGACGTTTGCCACTTGCAGACAGGCAGACAAATTCTGTTTTGCCATCTTGTTTAAAAGGGTTTTTATTGGTGTCAAGTTAGGGGTTGAGGGTACATGCTCTGGAGTCAAGACAGACTGACCTTGAATTCCAGCTGTTTTGCCTCTGTGCATCAGTTTCGGCATCTGTAATATGGGTCATATTAGAACTGGAAAGAAATTGAACCCATGTTTGACATTTTCCAGAAATCTATGCTCATAACTATTACTGCTTGTATATTTAGTTTTGGAGGAAATAGGGCCCAGAGACTGATGATAAGAATAACACCTAGCAATAATAGAACACTTACTGTGTACCGGGCACTACTCCAAACTCTTTACAGGGATTCGCTGGAGTTCCCAAGGTTTCCTGAGAGACTGTGTGTGAACAGAGGGCAGGATCCTGGCTGACTTGCTTGGTGTTACATTTCTGATGCCTGGAACAGTGCCCGCCGTGCAACCCTCAGTGTGCATCTGAATAAATAAAGGCACTGTTGTTAATCTTCACAACCATTCCCATGAGATATATATAACATCATCCCCATTGTCAAGGTTAGCATACTGAGACAGGTTCAAAACAACCCCAAATGACACAACTAGGAAATGCCCAGACTGGGATTTGAGCCCAGACATTGAAGCACTTACTAGCATGTGGGCTTGAACCACTGTCTTTGGCTATTTGCTCCCTGAAGCAAAGCGCATTATTGTTTGCTTGTTAAATCACGTAGGGCTGTTGTTTTTCCTCCTCCTGTCTGGTCTTAGGGAAGCTCTGAAGAAAATGAAGGATGTATATGAGAAGACACCCCAGATGGGGGACCCCGCCAGCTTGGAGCCCCAGATTGCAGAAACTCTGAACAACATCGAACGGCTGAAATTGGAAGTGCAGAAGTATGAGGTCAGCGAAGACCCTGGGGAGGGGCGGGGGCCGGCCAGCCTGAGTCACTGCCTGGGGGACAGGGAGGTGTTGTGGGGAGGCTCCAGCTGTTTCTCATCACAGTTCTGGGTGTGCATGGGTGATCTCAGGAAACATCTGAGCCCAGAGCGCGCTGACCCCAGAGCCTTGCCCTGGAACTGACCGCATGGTCTTCTCTCAGGCTTGGCTGGCAGAAGCTGAGAGCCGGGTCCTGAGCAACCGGGGGGACAGTCTGAGCCGGCACACTCGGCCTCCGGACCCCCCAGCTAGTGCCCCTCCCGACAGCAGCAGCAGCAGCAGCAGCAGCAACAGGGAATCACAGGACAACAAGGAGAGGTGAGTGGATGGCCACAGTGGGTCTGCCCCCCGGGGAAATGGGAGGCGTTGCTTCACTGCTTTGCTCTCCCCTACCAGCTCTGAAGAGCCCCCACTGGAGGAAGGCCAGGACACCCCCATCTACACAGAGTTCGATGAGGATTTTGAGGAGGAGCCTGCATCCCCTATAGGTCACTGTGTGGCCATCTATCACTTTGAAGGTGAGCATCAGTTTGGGTGGTGTTGAGGGGTGTCTGGCTAGGCTCTGTTCAAATCTGCCTGAAGCAGACCTGAGCCTGCCTCCACCCCCATGACAGGGTCCAGCGAGGGCACCATCTCCATGGCTGAGGGTGAAGACCTAAGTCTCATGGAAGAGGACAAGGGTGATGGCTGGACTCGGGTCAGGCGGAAACAGGGAGGTGAAGGGTACGTGCCCACCTCCTACCTCCGAGTCACGCTCAACTGAACCCTGCCAGAGGTGGGAAGAGGGAGGCTGTCGGCTGCTGCTTCTGGGCCACGGGGGGGCCCCCAGGACCTACGCACTTTATTCTGCCCCCGTGGCTTCAGCTGAGACCTGTGTAACCTGCTGCCCCCCACCTCCACCCCTCACCTCAGATGGACCCGCTGTGCCTTCTACCGTTGATGTACATAGTCATGTTTTAAATCTTTTCTTCCTGCCACTTGGCTAGGGCTGTTTCGTTTTATATATTAAAAAAAAGTATGTGAAGTTCCTAGAGTCCCTGCTTTATTAGGAAATTTAGGTACTAGGGCCGGATATTCAAATGCCACCCTCCTTACAGGCTGCACAGGGAATGAGGAAGGGGCGGTAAACTTGGGCACACCTTGGACACACCCTGTCCCTTCTTGAGAGTTGGGTCCTTATCCATGACCAGTGTAGGGAAAGGACACTAAACATCATTCTTTTCATGTTCATGGCAGCTCACTGAGAACAGGTAGCATTTATTGAGCACCTACTGTGTGCCAGGCATTCTCCACCCATTGCCTCTAAACATTGAGCTGTAATTCCCATAACCCTTAGAAAGTGCAGCTTCACTTTTGTGTTGAAGGAAGGCACAGAGAGGGCAAGCCATCTGCTCAAGTCACACAACTTTTATTTATTTATTTTTAAATTTTATTTAGTTTTAGAGGGAGGGGAAGGGAAGGAGAGAAACATAAGTTGCCTCTCACAAGCCCCCAACCGGGAACCTGGCCTGCAAACCAGGCATGTGCCCTGACTGGCAATCAAACCAGTGACCTGGTTTTTGGGACAACACCCAACCCACTGAGCCACACCAGTCAGGGCTAGAAGTCACGCATTTGAACTCTGGCCTCTTTGCAAGTTCTCTTATCATTAGAAGCTACCAGTTCACCATTTGTGGGATGTGTGGGGGTGGGGGTGGGAGGGGGAGGGCAGCCAGGCCTCCAGACATCTGTGTCTTCTAGTGCCGGGTAGGAGGCTTTCCCTCACCCCAGGATCCCAGTTTATTTTTACTGGGCAGGGTGGGTCTAGCAAACCTGGCCCCCTCCCTTCTGCAAGTCAGGGGAGGGGTCCTCACCCTGTTTGGCTGTGTGAGCAACCTGGGATGACTTCCTTGGTGTCCTGCTGAGGTCCCCAGAAGTCCGAGTGTCCCAGTGTGAAGAGGGGGTTCTGCACTCAGCAGTCAGGCTCCAGGTGCTGCAACAGGGCACTGAGGATGTGCTGAAGCTTCTCCAGACGACCAGCTCACGGGGTACTCTCCCCCCCACCCCCCAAGAGCAGCCTCCGCACAAAGTCAGTGCGGCTCCTGCAGCTCCAGGTTCGGCTGGAATCCTGGGGGCGGGGCTCGGTGCCGGGGGGGGGGGGGGGCAGTCCCCTTCCTTGCCCCTCCTCACATTTCTCTTATCCCCTGGGGACTTTGACCCAGCAGGGGCCTTGCGGGACTCCGTTCCAAGTACTCTCAATAATTAGGTAGGGTTGGTGGGGACCGGGCTGCTGCCTCTTTGGAGGTTTGGGGAAGGGCGTGGCTGAGGGGCTTGGTGGAGGTGAGCTGGGCCAGCGTGCATGGAGGTGCTGTTCCTGATTTGAGCTGCTAGGGGCTGTATCTTAGGGATTGTGCCTGGAGATAGAGACACCCAGAGTCAGGATTTGGGGTCCCAGGCCAACCTGCACAACAAACTTGGGGAGAGTTGGGATGGGTGCGAGTGTGACCTGTGGGCGTGGCTGTGGGGGGCAGATCTCCCCCTTTTGGTCGTAGGTCACTTTCATCACTGCTGGTTGCAGAACAGGCTTGAGAGCCCCTAAGGGGAGCCATCCAGTTTGTGTGGGACTCTGGGAGGTGTGGCGAGAGGCTCCGGTCCCTAGCAGGATTTGGGGGCACCCGATTAGGGCAGCACAGCGCAGAGGGGGTGCTCACCTTGCAGGTGCTGGGCTGCAGCCTTACGGGAATTTGGGCGTGTCCTGGGCCATGTGATGCACCCCCTGCAGAGAGCGTAGCAGCTGCTTGTAGCTCCTGTCCAGCTTCGGGGATTTCCTTGCCCTCCAGCAGGCGCACCACTAGTACCACGTGAGGTAGCGCCACCTCTCCAGGGTCTCAGGGTCCTGTGGGTTGAAGGGTGTGGGGTGGGTACGGGGCAAAGGGCAGAGCCTAGGGTGAAGACTGTGAGACATTGGGCTGGGCATCCTAGGATTCAAGTTGCGGGTGGGACTTGGGTCAAGTAGGCTTCAGCCTTGCAGAGTTTGAGTCAAGGGCGTGGCACAGGGCAGGGGTGGGGCCTAGGGATTGGGGCTAGGACCAAGCCCAGTGCATAGGGTGGAGCCTAGGATGAGAAGGCGGAGCCTATGGTAAAGAGACAGAGCCTAGGGCACAGAGGGGGCGGGACCTAGAGATTGGGTCCCGGGCCCAGTTTGGTTTGGAGGGCAGGGCCTAGGGCGAAATAGGGCGGAGCCAATAGTGAATGGGCAGGGCTACGGATAGAGGCAGGGATTTGGCCTAGCACTTGGCTAGAATTCTGAGTTAGAGTAGGCGTGCGGCTCCAAATGATGCCACCTACTGGTGCTCTCATTCAGCGGCCGCATCAGCAGCTTCAGCTCCTGCTCGAAGGCCAGCACGGCCTCGGTATGGCTTCTCGGAGCTGGCGCCAAGTGCGTTCCAGCCGGGACACCTGGGGTAAGAACCCTGGTAAGAAGCCTCCTCTTCCTCATCGCCTGCACTCAGGCGTTCCCCTCATCCCTGCACCCCACGCACCTGGGGCATGAGCAGGGCGCCCATGACCGCAGCCAGTCCAGGCAAGTCCCCTGCCGCCCCTGGCCGCAACACCAGTGCCAGCTCCACCAGGCCCCTCAGGGCGCCTACGAGCTGCTTCAGCGATTCTGTGCAGCTTAGCAATGCCAGCGCACCAGCCAGCACCATCTCCTCGTGCCTGTGGAGGCAGAGGGCAAGGGTATGGGGGTAGTGGGGAGGTTTTGTATTTCGGAGTGAGGAAGGACGGGAGGTGTCATTGCCCATCTCCCCTCCCTGAGTGGGGAGATTTGGAGACCCTGGGAATTCCAGATAGCTGCCTCACCTTTCCACCAGTTCTGACTTCAAGCGATGGCTGTGGGGAAGTGTGAGCAGCTCCAGGCCAGAGGCACCCCCCATGGCATCCTGCTGAGCCTTGGTCACTCCCAGTGGGCCAGCAGCCTGGGGGCGGGGCATTGTGTGGGGGGAGCAAAGAGGACAAGTGAACAGAGTACAGGGGTGTGAGAGGTGCAGTTGGGCCTCTCCACTGCCTGGCAAGAAGGGCCCTTGTATGCGACTCAGTTTGCAGCCTGCCAGTAGTAAGTGGGGGGCAGTGCTCCCAGCACGGTGCTCCAGGAATAGACCTTGGAGAGCACGCTGGACTTCTGGCTCCAGGGGCTGATTCTGGGAGCCCAGCAGGCTGAAGGGGGCGCCAGGTGGGCAGAAAGCCACCTCTGCCTGTGGTCTTGGAAAACATCTCTCCTCCTCCTGCTCCCGAGCCTCCCACCATGGGGCTTCTGGCTCTGGGCAGCTGTGGCCTGGGGATGTTCCTTGGGCACTGAACACTTGGGACACCAGCTCCTAGTACGTTGGCAGCTGTCCAGAGGCATCAGGCCGCACTAGTGAGGGTGTTTGAGGGGGCTGGGTTGGTGGCTTGGCAAGGAGCTGCTCATCCAAGGCCCTGAGACTGTCCGCAGTGAATCCCAGGGGACTCAGGGTCTTCAGCAACACAGGGTCACTACCTATGTAAGACAGAGCAAGTATGGGCACAGCGGAGGCCCCTGGGGGCCATAGAAGAGGGGGTACAGGAGGTACACAGAGAAGACAGTTGAGTGGGTCCCAGTTCATCCACTCATTCAGTCAGTACCCAGGTATTCGTACCTATTTTTCCATGGCTTTGAACTTTAACAACTTCCCTAGTATCAATGCTACACACCCCTGATTTGAAAATAAACTTTCTTTGGTACTTATGTAGTTTTGCAAATTCTGAATATCATATTTTAAATCTGAATCCTTTGCTCGTGCCCCTCTGATTGAAGATGGTAAAATATTGATGGTAGAAGATAAAAATATGTTAATCAAAATTCACAAAACTACATAAACATAAAAGCAACAGAATTTATCAAACTTTCAAATGATGTCGTTTGTTAAACTTGTGGCATGTTTACTTTAAAAATTATTAGAACTTAAAACTATGCCGAGACTTCTGGGAGATGCTGTACTAACAAAGCATTTAAATAGACCATATTATAGGGCCTTCCTGTGGTTCCCAGCTCACCCTGAGTAATGGCCAAAGTCTTCACCGTAGCCAAAAAAGCTCTCAAAATCTGGGTTTCAGATCTCCCTCTGACTTCCCCCTCACTGCCACTTCTTCAGCTACACTCACCTCTTTTTGGCTGAATGAGTAGTTCAGACTCTGGTTCTGGCCACAGGACCTTTGCACTGTTCTTTCTGCCTGGGCCACTCTCACCCCGTTATCCACATACTTCTTTTCCTTACCCTTTGAAATTTTTCTTCATGGGGCCTTTCCTGACTACTATGTAAAATCTCCCGTACTCTGTTGTATCTCTTTTTAAATTTTTTAAAATTTACTGATTTTATAGAGAAAGAGCAAGGGAGAGAGAAAGAGAGAAACATGGGCTTATTGTTCCACTTACTTATGCACTCACTGGGTGGTTCTTCTATCTGCCCTGACTGGGGATCGAACTCACAACCTTGGTGCATTAGGATGATGCTCCAACCAACTGAGCTACCTGGCCAGGGCTCCCTGGTATCCTTTTAATTATCTTTTTAAAGATTTTATTTATTTACTTTTAGAGAGAAGGGAAGGGAAGGGGAAAGAGAAGGAGAGAAACATCGATATGAAAGACAAATAACAATCGCTTGCCTCCCATATGCAACTAGACCTGGGACCAAACCTGCAACCCAGGCATGTGCCCTGACCAGGAATCACACCAGTGACCTTTCATTTTGTGGAATGACAGTCAACTGAGCCACACTGGTCAGGGCTAATTGTACTTTAAATTCTACCCCAAATCATCCATAATTGACTTATTTTTGTTGTTCCTGGTCTCTCTTCTAACAAGATGTTAACTCCACTTGGGCAGAAATCTTTGCCTCTCGTGTTCACTGATGTATTTCCGCACTTAGTACAGAGCCGGGCATGAAGAGAGGGCCCCTGTTGAATGGGCTGGGAGACTGACAGGGCAGGTGGGGCAGACCAGGCATGAAGGAGGGGGCATCTTCTTTAGGCGGGATGATTAGCGGAAGCTGTTTTGAGGAACTCATGTTATAGGAGAAGGAGTCAGAAAAAGATCAGGGGGATGGGCTCTCCAATGGCCAGAACAGCCAGTGTAAAGGCCCTGAGGCAGGAACAAATCTGAAACATTCTAGCAACAGAAAGGAAGACCGTGACGCCCACCACACTGTGGGCAGAGACGGGAGTTATTAGGGAGGTCAGCCAAGGTCAGAACACGCAGAGCTTCTGAGAATAACTGTAAACCCACATTGTAAGCACCTATAAATTTCCCATGTGTTTTTAACCACCGTAACAACTTTGAGAGCATCATTGTCCCCGTTTCCCAGGAGGTTATGTCACCTCCCTAAGATCACTCAGGGGGTGAGGGGCAAAGAAATCTCTGAGCCATGGCTGTCCTGGCAGACTCTCACCTGGCCCACAGTGGCCTTCTCCTGACTGCCCCACATGCTCCAGGCCTGCGGGCTAACTGTCGCTCCACTGCCTAGCCCTGGGCGAAAGAGACAGGGTGGGTGTGGAGACCCAGCCTGAGCAGGGCAGCCCACCATTGCCCAGAAACCACTACCCGCTGTCACTCAGGTTTGTTGCGTCTCAGCCAGGGTGCTCTCTACCCCTGGGGACTTGGCAAGGTCAGGAGACATTGTTTGTCCGTTACAACTACGGAGTAGAGCGGGGAAGAGTCTACTGGCATTAGTAGGTAGAGAACAGGGGTGCTGCTCAACACCCTACATGCACAGGACAGCCCCCATAGCCGAGAGTGATCTGGCCCCAAGGATCAATAGTGCTGATGTGAAGGAACCCAGGGGTTTTTGGTATCGCCAGGTAGGTTGGGAGTCTGTTGAGTACCTAAAAAGCTCTCCCTGAATCAGGCCATCTAGGAGGGTGTCCTGGCCCAAGCTGTGTTGAATAGTCTCGCATCACCAGCCTGGAGGCCACAGCCCCTGTAGCTTGGGTCAGTGAGTTCTGGCCAATCACATAGCTGCGAACCAGGGCAGGCAGGCTTGAGAAATGCTCATCTTCCAGCTGAAATAGGGATGCGGGCTAGCCTGATCAGGGACGCAAGGCCACACTGAGCACCTCAAAGTGCAGGGCTGAGCCCTGCCAATGGCAGGAGATCACCAGGTGGCCCCCATGGGACGGAGATGGGTGAACCAAGAAGTCACTATCTTGCTGGAGAAGAGCCTCAGCCTTCTGGGGATGAAGGATGGGGGCAGAGGGTTTAGGCATGAGCCCAGACCAGTAGGTAATGGCACATCCCCACCCCCACCCCACCTCCATGCAAGAAAAGCCATCCCAGAGACTGGATAGTTTTGTACCAAACCATTTACCCTTTTCTCATGGGTACACCTCTGGACTACATTTTCCAGGCTCCCTTGCAGTTACAGCTATCATGTGATAAGATCTGGCCAATGTGACAAGGGCAGAAGTGCAGTGGGGACTGCCCACACCTGGCCCATAATAAACTTCCTGCAAAATCCTACAGGTTCTGTCCCCTATTTGTCAGCCAATGTTACCAAAGCCCGAGGGTAAGGCTGAGCCACAAGATGGGAAGAACTAGGGTCCTGACTGGGGACCCTATGGAATTCTGGAATTCCATATCCTCACTCTTCAAGCACCTTGGACTGTGACATAATATGCAGCCTTATGTTCATAGCAGTGTTATTTACAATAGCTCCGATCTGGAAACAGCCCAAGTGCCCATCAGTAGATGAGTGGATAAAAAAGATGCGATACATTTACACAATGAAATACTACATGGTTATGAAACGGAAGAAACTCTTACCCTTTGTGACAGCATGGATGGACCTGGAGATTATTATGCTAAGCGAAACAAGCCTGTCAGAGAAAGACAAATACCATAGACGTCACTTATATGTGGGATCTAATGAACAAAATACTATGACAAACAAAATAGGACCAGAGGCATGGATACATGGAACAGACTGACAGATCTCGGAGGGGAGTTGGGGACTGGAAGAGATTAGTCAAAGCACATATATGCATAGCCCGTGGACACAGACAACAATGTGGTGAAGGCTGGGGCGGGGGGCTGGGTGGAGGGGGAAGAAGGTGGGAGAAATTGAGGACATCTGTAACAATATCAACAATAAAAAAAAGTCAAAAGAAAATGTGTATTGTGTTTAGTCAGTGACATCTTAGATAGGTCTGTTATAGCTGCTAGCTGATACTGACCGATGCAACTCCCAATCTGAGTAAACGTATTGGCTTGCTTTGCAACTGTGGCTTCAAAATAATACATTAGTTGGATTATTCCATAGTGTAGCCCATGAATCCCCCCTTATGAAATTTTCAAGCTGTCTTATGACAGCCGTGATGGCTGGTGTGATGACGGGCCGAAGGCTCTGACACCAGAGAGGCAAAGCAGAGCTGGTGATAGGGCCTGAGGACTGAACAATACATGCAGTAGACATGTGTGCAGCCCTACTGGGTGCTAGGTGCTGCTTTAGGTGTAAAACATGTGAACTCATTTAACCCTTTACCAAGGTTAAACAAGATCATCATTTTACACATGGGCGAACTGAGGTCCACAGAATGAAATACCTTAGCTTAGATCACACAGAATGTAAATTGTAGGGCTGGGATTTAATTCCAGGATGTCTGACTCTAGGGTGTGGGATACTAACCACTAACCTATACCGCCTCTCATGATTTGATAGGGTACCCTGGGTCCCAGGATTCCTGAGAGCTAAAGATGAGGGTGGGGAGCCTTGAACTAAGAGGGAGATGGGGCCCTGGTGGCCATCGGTGCTTGGGACCCAGAAAGAAAGAGAGACAAAGAGAGCTAAGGGGTGCTTTGAGGGAGTTAGGACCTTCTTCAACCTCTGTTACCATCCTCAACACTATCCCAAAGAAAGTGACAATTTAAATATAAGGAGTGACATTCGACACCAACCAAGCTTCAAGACAGTCCTTAGTCCCCGGTCCCCCTTCCAAAAGACCTTGATCCTAAATCCCTCATCTGAGACCCAGGAGTCCCCAGCAGGTCAAAGGTGGGAGAGGCTCCCCACTGCAATGTGCTGAGGCTCTGCAGGAGGCAGCACCTGGCGGGACAGGGGGCCGTGGTACCAGGTTTGGCTGGCAAAGTCCTCTCCATCCCGTGGCACCTGCATGGAGCTTTTCGAAGCAGTCAATGCTGGGGCTGAGTTCTGCACTTTTAACCAGCCACGTCTGTAAAATGAGAATAATTATTCCTGCTTCCTGGGTGGCTAGGTCAGCCCTTCCCTTCTATGCTCCTCTTAGCATTTTTTTTGAATTTGTTTTTGTATTCCTCTTAATTTTGGAGACAACAGCCCATATCCTATCAAATCTTAAAATGCACCTTTCTCTGTATAAGTATATATTATATAAATACTCATTTTAATTAAACAAGTTACTCATAGTCAGAATGAATGTGTGTGTGTGTGTGAGTGTGTGTGTGCCAGACATACAGGTAAAATCTAGACATACACCCTTGGGTCAAGGGTCATTGTATGGTGACCCTTGAACAGTGCAGGGGTTAGGGGCTCTGACCCCTGTACAGTCAAATATCTTTACATAAATTTCAACTGTCCCAAAACTTAATTACTAATATCCTATGGTTGACCAGAAGCCTCACCGATAACATAAATAGTCGATCAACACGCGTTTGGTATGTTATTTGTATTAGATACTGTATTCTTATAACAAAGTAAGTTAGAGAAAAGAAAAATGTTGTTAAGAAAATCATAAGGAAAATGCATTTCCAGTATTTATTTTTAAAAAGACCCACATATGAGTGGACCCATGTAGCTCAAGGGTCTACTGTGTATGCCTGTGCTCAGGCTGTGAGTAACTTTACCTTAGAGTCGGCTGTGATTTCATGGAAACGGCCAGACACTCACTGGGATTCTTGCAAAGGGAGAAGGCCCAGGCACCGCTTTCGAATGCAATGGTATTTTATGCAGATGACATAATGCTCCGTTGTAGAAATTCAATTAACTAATTCACTCAAACCAATATTTATGTGGCCCCCACGGCATGCCAGGCACTGTTCTAGGTGCTAGAGACCCAGCGGTAAATAAAACAGACTACAGACCACTGCCGTTCTAGTGGGGGAGGTGGTGATTAAGAAAAACAAGTAGATGAGTGTGTAGATAGTTCAGAGAGAGCCAAGCAGAAAGATGTAACCAGGGATGGGATGTGAAGCTCTGAGTGGTGGATGCAGGCTTTCCATCGGAAGGCCTAGGAAGGACTCCGTCCGTCAGTAGGACTGGAAAGATTTTGAGGGAGGGAACCCGGTGGTTCTCAGGGTGTAAGAACGTTCCAGTAGGGAAGTAATTTAATTTACTAATGTCTATAGCTTCTAAGCAACCTATGTGCACACAAGGATTCTTAGGATGTAAGCAAATCTAACCTATACATGGCCTTCCAATGTAACACTACGTTTAAGGATGTTGAAAGCCCACATTTTTATAGAAATGTCAGCAAATGCAATTTTGGACCCAATATATTCCCTCATTATTATGGTCAAATTTAGGTCTCAGACACTTTGGCACTCATCAAATCATGTAGGTCTGTCTCAGTATCCATCTGGTGGAGAAAATCCGCCCTGGATAGAAAGAATGTAAGGGGTCCACTTCTCACTCCCTACCCTACAAGGTCTCTGGGGCCTGGCCAGGGTCTGTGGGAAAAGAGCACCAGGATTCTTACATCCTGAGTCAGCCTGGCTGAGGGCCTGAAAGGCACAGGAAGTTCCCAGACCAGCCCTAGGTGACTTTACGGGGCGGGGAGCTGGGCCTGGAGCTGGCCCCAGGTGATGCATACCTGAGCCCCAGGCGTGTCTCCTGGATGCCTGTGCACATCCTGTTTGTCCTCTGGGCCGGGCCCAGCCTTGTCTTAAGAGTTCCCCAACTCCAGCTTCTTCCGTCTCATGTCTCTTTAGTAGGCACCGAGGTGGATCACTGAAACTCTGTGGGGTGGGGAAAGCTCAGGGTGGGCAAAAGACACCCCATGTCTTTTGGAATAGTTTCTGGACACTTGGGCAGAGGAGAGAGGAAGGGGACAGAATCAAGAGAGGGGGTGAGGTAGGGACAAGATTAGGGAAAAGAGAGAGGGGGTATTCATGCCCTATAGACCATATATGGGTATACACATTGCAGGGGACAGCCACCAGCAAGCACATAGATATATGGACACAGATGGACAAACCTGACACTGAGCAACCACCAGCTGGTTGAGCACTTACTGTGTGCTGTTCTAGACCCTGAAAATAGCACTTAGGTTAGAGACCTGCCCTCACCCTTCGCTGTCTGGTGGACAGACACGCAACAAAACAAGAATAAATCCAGAAAGTAATCCAGGAAGCTGGTAAAACAGGGAGGCGTGATAAGATGGCTGGAGAGGGCAGGCTACTTCAAAGAGCTGACTCAAGGAGGTCTCTCTTAGAAGGTGACATTGGAGCTGAGACCTCCGTAAAGGGAAGGAGACAGTTACGCAACAATTTGGAAAAAACAGCAGTTCAGGTGGGGGCTACAGCAAATGCAAAGGTGACGTGGAGCTTGCTTTTTACATTTGACATCAAGTAGGGCCAGTGGAGCTGGAACACAGTGAGCGAAGAGCTACGTGGTGAGCAGTGAGGTCAGCAGGGGTGAGACCATGCAAGAAACGGTGGACCCCAAAATTTCATTTCAGTCTGATGGAATGCAAGCTATGTAAGGGAGGGGCACAATCTGGTTTGTGGTTTAAAAAGATCGGTCAGGCGAAAGTGGAAGCGGGGAGGGTGTCCGTGATGCAAAGGAAACACGCTTAGAGGAGCACTCCCAGGTACACCCAGGTACACGAGCACGCGTGATGCAGAACGACCCCATCGGGCATTTGGTAACCCATTCTAAGTCCGCGGACCCGCGTGGACAGACACCCAGGTCCTCCCTGAGTGCCGGTGGTCTCACCTGAAAAAAAGAGGATTCCCCACTGGAATAAACCCCTGGTCCTGGATCTGCCCGGGGGCCCTCCACTCACCTGGGCCGGGACCCGCGGAGCTCCGAGGAGGCTGGGGCGGAACTCAAGCCTGAGGCTCCGGGGCTCCGGGCCCTTCCCACCCCGCCCCTCAAGACCACGCCCCCTCTGACCCCGCCTCCAATTGCAGGCTCTTAAACCTCACTTCGCCCCCTCATTCCCGCTCCGCCTCCTTAGAACTTTTCGCACTATCCACGTCCCCTTTAGATAATACCTTCTTCTTCATAGACCACACCCACCACCTTGGGGAAACTGTCCGTCCCTTAAAGTTGGCCCGTCCCCTTAGAACATAGCCCCGCCCCCTCCGACTGGCCACGCCCAGTCGTCCTTTGGTCCCTCTTCGTCTGGCTTCTTAGAATTCGGTTCCTTATTAACCTCAGGATGATTCTAAGTACCCCCTGGCTCCTCGGGACGCGGAAAGGGAGTATCCCTTTGTCCCTCGGGGTTCCGGGACGAAACCCCGGAACCTCGAGTTTTCTCGCTTGGCGGGGAGTGGCAGCGGCTGTGACGTGCAGGAGGAAGTTTCCGGGAATGGAACCCCAGCTGAGTGTTGGGTTTCCTAGAGAGATGCGGGAAAACACGACCGCCTCCCCCAGTGACAAGCACGATGGAGTCAAGCTAGACTCTGAAGAGACACAGAGAGGGTGGGGGAACATTCAGGTAGTTTTCCAAGTGGGAGGAAGGAGATGGTGGAGCTTCCATCATGATGCTTGGAGACAAGCATGAGAAAGCTGGGGGGGGGGGGGTCGGGAACAGGAGAGACCGCCCTGGCCACATTGGGGGAGAGGGGGAAGAGAGGAAGGCAGGGAGGGAGGGAGGAAAGAGCAGTGGTCGCAGTGAACGTTTATGAGCACTGGCTGTATGCCAGGACTGTATTGCTTGCTTGTCCTGTTTCGACGCATTTAATTTTTACCTAGGTCACTCAATGAGGTAGGTACTACTTTCATCACCCCCATTTTCCAGACACAGAAACAGAGGCGCCGGACAGCTAAGCCATATGCCCAAACAGAGCCGGTTTGTGAGTGGTCGATTCAAATGTAGAGCCCCGAAGGCCATCCTGTCTTCCTTTCTTTTGTGTGGCAGTCCCACCATCTCTGATCCCTACCATAACGCTAAAGGGTTACCCATTTTACAGATGAGGAAACTGACGCATAGAGAGCCAAGCATGCTTGGGAATGAAAAGTTCTGGTACCTATAGGATCTCAAAGCTGCAAATTTCCAGGCTGGGCTACACTTTCCGCCCTCATGTGGAAGAGGGGCTCAGTCAGGGGAGTATCTTTTCCTTGACACCCTGCCTCCAGCCTACTTTTGGTACAGCCAGAGGGTAGGTAGGGGGTTTGTCCAGTGAAGTGGCCTAGCGCCCCCTAGTGGTTGCAAACATTAAAAATGCAAGTGGTGTTAGTGAGCTTGAGGGGGACAGGGAGGCTATTCACAACCTAGTAGGCAAGAGACCACATAGATGATTTCAGGTGGCAATAAGGGCTACGAAGACAGTAAATATTTGCTAAACAAATCAGTTAATGAATGACACTAGCGAAGTCTTTAGGGAGAGAGATGGTAGTTACCAGGGCCATGGGGATAAATACATGGATTTGGGATAAATGTCAGAGTTGGTGCCAGTAGAGCTTTCAACCATTTATTTGCTTGTTTATTCATTCAGTCAACAAATATTTATGGAGCATGTATATGTGCTAGGTGCTGAGGGGTTGGGCCCAGCAGTACATAAGAGAGAAATGCCTAAATAGACAATAAATAAATCAGTATAAGATTAGGTTTGATGATCAGGGCTTAAAGTAGGGGTAGGGTGTGATGAAATAGGATAAAAGGCTGTGATTTGAAATAGGGCGGTTTGGGAAGACTTCATGAGAAGGTGACATTGAGCAAGGACTTGTAGGTGGTGAGGCAGCTAGCTATAAAGTTGCCCAAATCAGAGGAGAAGCATGTGCAAGGGCCCTGGGGCAGGACCAGGCCTGGCTTGTTGGAGGAACAGCAGGAGGCCTTCGTGGCAAGTGAATTAATGGGCAGTTGGGGGCGGTGAGGGCAAAGAGGAGGCAGGTCAGAAAGGGCCTTTCCGGTTGCTGGGAAGACTTTCCCCCCAAAGAGGAAGGTATGTGACAGGAGGAGGGACATCCTGACTTGACTCGGGTGCTCCCAGGCGCCCTCTGGCTGTTGTCCCGTGGAAGAGGGCGGGAATGTAGGGACCACGGCGGAGGAGACTGCACTGGTCCAGGCAGGCGGTGATGGGGCTGGACCAGTGTGGAGGCAGAGAGCGGATTTTGAGTACTTTCAAGTGTTACTGCTCAAAGGTTGAATATGGAGACAGGCAGCCGGTCTCAGTCAACTTAGCCTGACCACCCGCAGCCACTTCGTCCACCCAAGTGCCCAGGCGTTGTGTTAATGGGGGAAAGACAGGTCAGGTCCCTCGTGGAAGGGGCTGGGCTAGGCAGGGCTGGACTGCAGGTGCTACCCCCGCCCCCACCCCACCCCCCGACTCCTCCTCCTCCACCCCCTCTCCCGGCGACAGTTACAGGCAAAGAAGAGGAAGTGGTAGCTAGTAGCACAGGCAGGCGAGAGGGCGGGTGGTGGAAGCTGCGAGGGGAGCGCGGGCCGACAGGGGAAGGCAGCAGCCATGGAGCTGTGGCGACAGTGTACCCACTGGCTGATCCAGTGCCGGGTCCTGCCGCCCAGCCACCGCGTGACCTGGGACGGGGCCCAGGTGTGCGAGCTGGCACAGGCCCTTCGGGATGGGGTCCTTCTCTGCCAGCTGCTCAACAACCTGCTGCCCCACGCCATCAACTTACGCGAGGTCAACCTGCGCCCCCAGATGTCCCAGGTGAGCCCACTGCAGGCTGTCGGGCGGAAAGTTGGAAGTGGGGGTATTCCAGGCTGGGTTAGTGCACTGAACCTCTGGGCTGGCAAGGTAGAGGGGTATATGCAAACTTCGCTGCTGGCTTAGGGGACAGGGGGATGTGTGGATGGCAACACAGAGATTCTCGGGTGACCCACCCCAGGTTAACAGGAATGCGTTCATAGGCACAAAGTGAGTCCAATTCTAAGTTGAGAACTGGCAAGCTGGAGGTTAACCACTCCTGAGCCCCAGGCTGACTTCACTGGGGTTCAAGGCCCCAGGTGCCATTCTCTGAGAGGCTTAAGGGGGTACCTAGGAACCCCTTGGATGGCCAACAGGGTGCCTAAGGGTTTTTTTGACCCTCTACCCCCAGATTCTAGCTATGGGGGAGGGGCCTCCTCTGCCTCCTTCCCCACATGTGTCTCCTCCTCTGGGCCCTGGGCCCCTTCCTTCCCCTCACATCTCCTTCCCCTTGGCTTCCTGCCTGGGCCTGGGGCAGTCTGGGCAGGTGGGGGGCTGTGACCCAGGGCTCTCTTCTTCCTAGCTCCCTTCATCCCCTGGGGGACATTGAGGACCTGGTCCTGAGCCCTCGAGAGTGGGTTCTGGGGTTTGGGAGTCTAGAAATAGCTGCTCTTTCTCAGTAGCAATTTCTGTATGGGCACAGGGTCCAGAAGGAGGCGGATTTGACTGTGACCGCCCCCAGTTCAGGAAATACATTCAAGTCCCCATTTGAATGTGGTTGGGGTGGGGGAGGTAACAGGACTGGATGCTCTGTCTGCAGCACCTTCTCTGGTTCCCTCTGGCTGAATGGGTGCTGGGTGGAAGTGGTGCATGCTGCTGGGTGGGGGTTGGGGGCGCCCTGCCTGCCTCGGTGGTCTGAGGGGGCCCACAGGCCAGACCTTAGGCTCTATGCCAGGGTGAAAGCCTTGGTCCAGAGGAGCTGCAGGCTGGTGGGGCGGCGGACGGTTGGGGCATCCATAGCCTCTCTGGTCTGAGGTGCCATGTGCATGTGGGGGGAGGGGAAGTGACTGCTCAGGGGGAGGGGTCCATGGAGGGGCTCCCTGGAGACATTTCCTGGGGGCAGAGCCATGGGTAGAGAGGTGAGTGGCCCCCCTCTTCCTAGCCTAAGCAGGGTTTGTTGATGGAATGAAGGAGCTCGAGAGACCCCTCACTGCACCCCTCCCCACCCCCAGGGCATCCTAAATTTGCCTACATTTGCTTGTTTCCTCTGGCTTCCAGCACTTGAGGAAGTAGCTGTAGGACCTGTTAGGTCCCAGATCTGCAGGGAGGCAAGGACCCCAGTGAGGCTTCAATAGCAGCTAATGAAAAAGCGGATAGCCCTGGCTGATGTGGCTCAGTGGGTGGAGTGCCTGCTTGCCAACCCAAAGGTTGCTGGTTCAGTCCCTGGTCAGGACACATACCTGGGTTTTGGGCCATGCACCCGGTGTTTCCTTTCCATCTCCCTCCCTCTAAACTATCAATAAATACAAATCTTTTTAAAAAAGTGGATAGATTTAAGGATGAACTTTCACCTCTGCATGCATCTTGCCTAAAGCTGGTTCTCTGATGAAAAGCAAGGGGGTGTGGCATTCATGTCTAGGAGGGCAGCTGCAGGGACTCCAGGGACCATCGTAATTCTATGTGCTGGGCAATGCCATGGACCCAGGCCCAGGTCTAGCCCTCAAGATGCTCCCAGACTCGGGGGAGACAGAACCAATACCCCTGCCCCTTGTCAGGACTGTGGTGGAGGAACAAATCTCTGGGGGTCCTGAGGCAAAGGTAAGACATTTCCTGAGGGAGTCTGGCTTTTTACAAGAGGGGACATTTGTGCAGGGTTTTGAAGAGTGAGTAGGAGTTTTCTCACTGTTCCTGCTTCCTGCATCCAGCTGTGTCAGGTCCCAGGCCTTGCAGGTCTTACCTGATCCTTCCCACTAGGAGCTCTGCTCCCTTCTGCCCCTGCCCCTTCCGTGTCTATTCGAAGCTCAGCCCCGTTCACAGTGGGGATGTGTGCAGGAAGCTAAAACATTAAGCCAGAGCGACGTCCCACAAGAACAACCTCTCTAGGTTTGCAAGTCCCTGTCAGTCAACAGACGTGAGCGAGGGCCATGAGATGTGGAAGGGCACGGCGAGGAAAGGGAGGGTGCTTCCGAAGGGTGTGGGCCAGGGCGGGGGCCACAGCATAAATGAAGGTGCGGA